GCATGTAAAATATAATTTAAAAAATATATATATATATACACACAAACCAATAGTTGGTCCCCACATGTTAGATGAATAAAGTCTTGTGTGCACACAGAAACGAATATCTAGCAAATAAACGTAAAGGTCAAGGCACTCACAGATAATTAAAAGAGAATAACTCATCCAGGTCTTTATTCATCAACATTTTGGAGGGTCACAGCCCCCCTTTATCAGGCCTTAAAACATTGGTGAATTGGATTATTTTTCATTTGATTACTTATGCTCTTTTAAATACCTGTAAGTGCCCTGACCTTTATGTTTATTTGATATTTATTCTTTATTTACATCTGCAAGATTGCTTTAACTCTAGAAGGCCAAGTGGCTGTAATTTACCTTGGGTAAACATACCTAACCTTTGAACTCCCAGACATGAGGCGTGACTGCTGTATTGTCTCAGATATCAGTAACAGGGCCGTCTAGTTAATATAGTGTATATCATTTACAAAAACAAGAGGCTATGTTGACTGTAGCAACCAATCAGGTGTCAGCTGCCTTTCAGAACAGTTTGGGGATATTTGCTTGATGCTGGCAATATGAAAGCATTTTGAACATAGTTTCCAGCAGCTGGGCCTCAACAGGTGCTGGAACAATTGCTGCAGACCAATTTCCCTGTGTTTCCTTGTCTGTGGAGAAAAGAGAATGGGGGAATTTATGAACGTGATTGCGACAAACTTTTTAGTAGCAAAGGCCAAAATCTCATGCTAACTAACCACAAAGTTTGATCTCTGTTATGCACCTTTTATGACGTGTTCTTGCAACAAATTCATGTTTGTGATTCACTGCACATGTTTTGGGACATTTAAAAAAATGTCTCAACTGCGCAGTAATTGCATCCAGCATTTGTGACATTAAAAAGCCTCCAAACTGTCGCACATTCTAGAAGTGCTTCTAAGCATTTCTTAAAGCTGATATTTACACCCAAAAATCAAATTCTACCAATGCATCCCTCTATGTATGATGGTTGATAATAACATAGACATGTCAGGTGTAAAATGCTGTGATTGTGAAATACTTACACTTGCAGAGCATTCGCTTCCTGCTTTGAAAGGGCAAAATGACTTCAGTTTGGCAAAGCAATGCACACTGGGATTGCCTTGTCACCAGCAGAGCATTGCTAGGAAATGTCATGTGTAATCTCATGAGATCTCAGGGAAAGGCATTTTCTTCCCCTGAGATGATGTACATGGTCACATGTCCTAGTCACAAGTGCCAGAAATCCAGGAAGTACCGTAATAGGAGAGCTAGGAAAGCTGGCAATTATCTAGAAGTTTGGGTTTGTAGATTGTCATTACTAAAGATTTCTAAAGGTGTGTTTGTTATTATTATTATTACACAGGATTTATATAGCGCCAACAGTTTGCGCAGCGCTTTACAATATAAGTTAGACATTACAATCACAACACAATTCAAGACAAGATGATAAGAAGGGCCTATTTTAAAGATATGAGTAAATGTATGCTTCAAAGCATCACAATGATAATGTGCCTTCACATCCTCAAGTTAGCTGAGCACTTCGCCTCTATTCAGTTGTCCTCTAGGAGGTTCCCAACAAGATTGTGATAGTTTTGAGACAATTCTTCTTATGAAGGCATTTAGAAAAATAAACATAAACTAGGATAATAAATCTTTCACTATATGCAATAGAAATCAGGGATGCAACAGTTTAAAAGATGCTGATGATGCGACCAAATTGATAAATTCCCCCCCGCAATGAACCTTTTGCCACACATGTGCCATGTCTATCCATTAACTAGATTGCAGCAAATGAGCTAGGAATGTATAATTGCCTATCTACTACTAACACAGCTGCAATCTGGACTTGCATTGAAGTACCATTGAAAATGAATGGCAGTGCAACACACTAATTCATGCATGGCATGCTAACGCACATTACTGCAACTCGGTAGTGTACACGAGCCCTCAGTTTCAGCTTTCACAATATACTTCTCACCCGTGAGGTGTTTTTACTTTATGAGTGATATGCATTGTTATAACTATTTCAAAGTTAATCGTTATCTGTGCTATAACAGTATTTCATGCTCCTTTCACTGAGAGATTAGAACGCTCTGCAAGTCTCAACAAGTTGAATGACATGCCCAATGGAACTAATGCTTGTTCAAGCTTTAGATATAAGTCTACAACTGTTGTAATAACCAACAGGGTAATTCCTCACAAGATGCTGATTCATGTACACAGGGAGCCTATGTAAGTTCATGTGAACATAGAGCCACCTTATAAAGTCTGGATTTGTCCCATGTCTTCAGAAGTATGGTTGACATTCTGTGATTTTACAAACATTTTGTAGTAGGCTACTGGACTTTACATGCACACTTTCTGCAGAAAAAAATGTTTTGTGGCTGAGTGAAATGAAAATAGAAACACAATAAAGGGGTCTATTCAAACGATAGACTAGGTAAAACACCTTCTGTCCCAATTAATATTGGAAATGGACAATACTTTTGGGATAAAATATTAAAGGATTACTAAAAAACAAACTACAATAAATTGTGTGAATATTTACTTCCATTATCCAATCATGTGCAGATCAAATTGTAAGCTCTCATAATAAGGCTCCTCCTAACCCTTTTTTCTTGAATTGTATTGTAACTGTGTCCTTTTATATTTTAAGGCGCTGCACAAACTGTTGGTGCTATAGAAATCCTGTATAATAAGAAATAAACAGGATTTTTTTCACACAAGATTAAATAATTGATGTGAATATTCACACAATATATTGTGTGAAGACTCTAATTTCCTTCACGCATTGTGTTATCTATTACATTTTTGGATTTAATCATGAACGCTGCAGTACCATAATGGATACAAAAGCATAACTGACATTTGCTAAACAATAACTTCAGTTAATATATAATTTTTGTTGTTCCATATAAATCATTTGTTTGTGTCTATGTTTTCCTGAGCTGAGTTGCATTTTGACAGCGCAACGGATCCTTCACACTATATATCATGTCCTGTTCCTGGGAGTTGCTTGTCACTATGTAGCTGATTTACTGTTGGCCTGCACTGCCATCTAAATTTCCTAAAGTGTTCAATGGGTATTCCATGCAATGCAAGTTGACCTCCTTTTGCCTTGCATTGAATAAAGCTCAGCACAAATCTTGCACTGGTTCAATTAAATACTATAAATAGATAATTATCTGATCCCAACCTATTGCAAACACATTTCTGTGATTGTTCAGTATTTGTTTACCAGATGCAGATTGGCTGTAAGTGAGCAATGTGGAATCGTTGTAATTTATGCATGTTCATGTTGTTAATGTATGCTGTAAATTGTTTCTGCCCTTTGCTGTGCATGTGGTGAGTGTTGCAGTTTGCTTTGGGTGATGGTTCATTAATACTTTTCATGCATTTCTAGAATGACAAACACCACTATAATAAGCATGGCTGCTTGACTGAGCAAAGTCGGGTATGTGTTATGTAATAATTGTTTATTATCTTGGCTCTATAACAAATCGTGGAAGTATATGTACCCCCTTCTCTGTGCTTTTCACTGCTTTTTGTCCACAAAAATCCTTTTTTTTTATCCATTTAAATGTTGTAATTACAGTATTATTATTTGCTTTCACTCTTGTATTACATTTTACCTATTTGGTTTTTAATTTCTAAGCACAGAGAATTGCAGTCTTAGATATATATATATATAGATATATAGATATATATCTATATATATATAGATATATATCTATATATCTATGTTTTTTTGGTGTCTTGCATAATACCTACAATGCATTGCATTTTTCATTGTGCATTTCATGGTTCATTATGGTGCTTTGAGCTGTGAAACTGTGTCAGGTACCCATGTTTTCCATGGGACCCTTAATCCTTTTTTTAAACCATTTGTGGCCAATCACAAAACTTGCTGTAACATTATCTTATCCTGTCTTTGTAATATCCCCTTTGCACACCGTACCGTTATACCCCAGAATCCAACAGGTGCTGGAACAACTGGTGGATGGCGCCACAGTATAGAATATAGAAGATATGTTGTCAGCACACATGTGAATGCATGTCATGCTAAAGGAAGATGAATAAAGATGATATTCCGAAGCAGAATGGTGTGCTGACAACATATCTTCTAGATTATTTTATCCTGTTCTCAGTTTAGTAGACCACTGTTAAATTATTGGCATTGTTTATGCCCATCTTAGTAATCCAGTTTGTGAAATTGAATATTCTTGAGATGTTATAGACATAACCCTTAACTCTTAAATGCCTTTATGCTCTTTTCCGACAAGTATAATGGTCTTGTTATACAAGTATATATTTATATGAAAATGTTTCAAGTTCCATGGTGTTTTTCTTTCAACAAGCTTAAAGGGGAAGAGAACACATTGTAAAAGCTGTTTAAACTGGTACTTCCAGTTACGGAAACATTTGCCTTTGATTCCCTGAAGAGCACTGGGACCTCTGACACTCGGGGTGCTCTATAATGCAAATATTGACCAGGTTGGTGGATCTGGCTCGACATTTTCATTGTTTTTACTCTGTTATTGGCCAGTTACTGTGATGGGCAGTCTTACCAATACTGAAGTGCATTTGAGGCAAAACATATCTAAGGATCAGAAGGCCGGTCATTATCTGCATTACAGAATTATCTCTGTAGAGAATTTGGGCATTACAGAGAATTGTAGGCAAAATGTTGCCACTGGTAGGTACAATTTGTTCTTCCTTTCCCAGGTTCTCTTTAACAATGCAGTTAGAGTGAACAATAGCCAACGGGTAAAATATTAATTTCTGGCAGGCACCATTTTGCTGTGAACACAACTCAGACAATAATTGTAGATGTATAAAGTAGTCCTTACCTAGTCTGAACCTTTTGAAATTTCAAGTTTCAGACAGCAGGAGTGTCACAGCTTTTTTCTTTCAGATATATATAGATAAAAATGGCTCTTTGCAATGACTGTGACCATTTCATTAGGGTGAAGATTTTTTTTTAATTTCCCCATTGGGTCATTTTTGCAACATGGTGGATAATGTTGGCTAATATAAAAGTGCTCAACCCTCTTAGGCAACTTTCACTCTAACTTGGTGTCCAGTGGTTGCCTGTTGTTATTATTGCTGCTTTATATTCTGCCTAATTTTCATATAAAAGCCTCAATATCTCTTTTTGGCAATATCTTTTAGAGTATAATGCCAAATTTAGCCATTAGTAGGAGAACCAACAAATTGGTCTTTGCCTCATACAGCTATATTTAATTGCTTTCCCTATTCATATGTGAAAGCATGGGACAGACTCTACTAATATCCATTAACTTAAGATGTCTAGCATATGAATAAGGAAGTAGTGACAATTAAATATGACTGCAGCAGAAATCCTTCTGGTACTACCAGCAAAGTTGATCCAATAGATTGGGAATTCCTGCCTGGGTTCACATCACATTTTTATCAATTGACACGTTTGCAAATCCATACACACCTATGGGATGTATATGTATCTGGAAATTCTGAAAGAAAGGGATTATTGGTTGGTTAGAAGATAACCTGGAGTATATCTGCTGTGTGATGTGCATATGTACACATCGAAGGCAATTATTGGACACCTGTATTGCTTCCGTTGTGAACTATGTAACTCCAGAGCATTTATTTTCAGACTCTATAGACCATAAAACATTTGCTTCCCCAGCATTCTACCTATTGATAACTGTATGCACATTGTGTATCTGAGCATGTTCTCACTTTCATCTGTGTATGTCTAACCCTATTTCCACTTATCTTCTACATGCCTTACTCGATTGTTGCAGATGTCAAATAAAGATTTTACAATATGAATGCATCTTGTCATGTAAAATATCTTTTTACATTCACCACTAATCTTTATTTATTACGTGCTCCATCCAAACCTTATCTTGCTTGATCCCTTGTTGGTAGTAAAAGGCTATAGACTGTGTGTGTATATAT